TTATAAAGACAGTTTGATCCCCTGTTCTCTTCTGATAATTCATAAATGTCACATGATTTACCTACTAGGGCAGTTTCCAGGAATCTTTTTGGGATACTCTTACCCAAGAAGATGTCTTTTGAATCACCCTCCCCCTGGGACCAGGGAATTCTCCATCATTAATGGTAGTCAGACTCCTCAACCCAGCTCACTTTATCATTGTGTAATTTCCCCTTTGGCAATTTCTACCAGTTTGGCTCTTACTGGGACATCAGTCCATTCAGCTGCCTCTAGAGGAAGCTCCTTGCTCAGCAAAGGATGGAGACAAAGGGGTGGGGGAGGAAACTGATGGGGGATGAGAGGGCCAGTTGCTGGCTGGTTTCTTCTGCCTTCCCTCCTGGCCCCTGGCTGCTTCCGAGGGGCTCCTCCACTGGCTAGATCTGCCTCCTGGGGGCCTCATCTTTTGTTCTGGTGTAGGTCGTCAGAGGCCATGATATTCTGGGCAGAGCTTAGATTTGGACTCAGAAGACTTGTGCTTGTGTCCTGCCTCAGATCTACATGCTCCTGGCAATAATTTAGCCACTCAGGACTTCAGTGATAAAATAAGAATAATATCTACCTCTGTGGTTCTTCTCCAACTCAAATACATGTATATACAAGGCTTTTTATAACCCCTAAAACCTCACATAGACATAGATCAGATTGCTCTTGGTCATTGATATTAAAAATATCTATCTTTAATCACAGAGGGGTTATGGCGGAAGCACACATTCATAAAAAGTTCCTTTTCTTGTAAAATAGAGTGGACACTGGGAAGTGTCTGCCCAGCCAGGTCCGTAATTTTCAGTCTCTTCTGCCTTTGGGTGGGATAAAGCGATCAGCGCTTACTAATGGAACATAAGCAAAAGTAATGCGTATCCCTTCAGAGCCAAGGCGGTGAGAAGTGCGTGTGCCTTCTTTAATTTTCTTCCCGTCTGCCACTGAATGAAGAGCACTCCAAGGCCTCAGAGAGTGGCAGAACTGCAAAATGGAAGGAAATGGAGTTGTTCCTGAACCCTCGTGTGGAAGAAAGCTGCCTGCTACCTGAGAACATCCTCACTGGATTATTACAAGAGTGAGGGACAAACTTTCATCTTGCAAAGCCTCTGTGATCCTGGGGTTTATTTATTATAGCAGCTAATATTAGCCTCGGTAATAAATGAATCAAGGGAATGAGAATGTGTGGCTCAGTCAGTAAGAAGTACTGAAAATGAACATGTGCGAAAGGCTAGCAATGTCTTTTTTCACACTAACACACAGGCCGCAGGGCCAAGGAATTCCCAAAGGACATCTGCGACACCCTGTCAGGCAGGTTGGTAGGCAGTTTGATGTTACACGCGCACGCGCACACACGCACGCAGGCACGCATACAAGCATGCACGTGCACATGTCACTTTTGTATATGTATTCCAGAATGCCAGAGTGGAAGATAGAAGTAATAGGCCTCCAAAGCCATTCAAGAGCTTATTTGTAGTTCAGGAAACTGAGTCAGAGCAGAGATGGAGCAGTGCGGGGCCACAGAACTAAGTAATGGCGGCCTCCAGAGCAGCACCCAGGTCTTCAGGTTCCCAGGCTCTCCTTCTCAACCCTCTTTCCTGTTCTCTCTGGTTTATCCCAGCTTCTCCCTTAACAAAGCCTAACATCTAGATAATCCAGAAATGACTCAAAAAGGGGGAATGAATTATAGGTCCAAATGGCTTTCATGACTTGGCATCTACCATGTAATCAGCAAAAGGGCATTTTGCATTTTCGTCTTAGTGTCTGGCAAAGAACTAAATGAGCCTGTTAGCCCAACCCTTCTCCTTGCCTACTTTTTGTGTCGTTCTGTGTCCCCTTGAACTCTATACCCCACCACGCCAACCATCATGATTCCAGGACGACACCATATCCTGTTTCAGCGCTCTTACCAAGCCCCTTCATCAAAAGATTCTTCCTTCAAGATCCTACTTAAATGTTACATGCTCTGTTTTTCCCGATGCTTCCAGGATGAGTTAGTGTTTCCCGTGGTACCTCTTTATGGCATTCTTAGAGCACTCATGACATAGAACTGTAAATTTTATTTGTACCTTGGTGGTTCATATGCTTCATAGGCTCCTTCCCAACACTTGGCTTTTTGGGATGGGCAATAGTACATATAATGTCACCCTTCTCCTCTCCTGAGTTGTTCAGACTGGGAGTTCAGACGAAGCTACCAATCCACAGGTACCCCAGCCACCGTGACACAGCCTCCAACAGAGGATTCTGCCTTTCGGGAATGGCCCTTTGGGGATGGGAGATTGGTCACATTCTCTCCATTGAGAATTCACTCAGAGAAGAGGGACGTCCCAGGCAGTTGGGGGACTGGTGCTATGCAGTCTTGCCATGGTGGCAGGGCTGGTGGCCGTGCGGAGCCATGTGCTCAGCCACGTGTCGGACAAGCAGAGTGGAGGGAGCACCTTGGGAGGGAGAGGAAGGGGCCAGGTCTGAGGGGAGACTGGGAGGACTGGGTGGACTATGCCGTTTGGGGGAGAGGGAGAGCAGACTTGCAGGCTCCTGTAGCCAGCTGTGCCTTCTGTCTGGGGTGCCACAGGAACCCCCCACCAGGCCTTTGCTGCATTGCCCCCCTCTACTTCTTGGGCTAGGTTAATGGGTTTCTGTTTCTTGGAACCAAAAGAGCCTTGGTCAAGAAAGTGTTACCTCCCCCTCTGGACTGTGAGTTGCTTGAGGTCTTCCTTGTATCACCAGAATGTAGCTCAATGCACCAACGGTGTTCAAAATCGACTTGTTGCATGGATGATGAGTCAACGAACAAACGGATGTGCCTACTGGTAAGAGATACAGGGCCCTGTTTGCCTGGCGGGCCTCCTGCCCCACCGTGCCTTTCTGATACAAAAGCCTCTTTCCCCTAATCACCGCAGCTCTGCTGCTTCGGTCCTCCAGCGTCCCAACGTCCAGCTTTTGACGGGTGGCATTTCCCTGAAGTATTCTTTTTGCTTTAAAAATACTGGGTCTGGAACACTGGCATCTGAGGGGACGCAGATGCAGACAGGAGATACAAATAGGAGACGACACTTTCACCTTAACCGCATCTGCTCCAGAAGAAACCCCAGATGGCCCCCTGGACCTTTTCCTGAAGAAACATGGAAGAAGCAAAGCTGTATTTAGAGAGATATAAGTATAGCTTTTATTTTTTTTTTTAACCAACCCAACATTTCCACTGGCAACTGTCAACATAGCTTATGACATGAGCACTGTTTCTTTTTTAGTTATTTTTTTCTTAAAAAAATGTGTTTAAAATTAAACAGGTGTTTTTTAATTTCTCTTTTTTCCCTTAAAAAATGTATTTATGTCAATGCAGAAAGCCTAAAGATCTGTGGGCAGTTTTGTGAGGACTGTGTGTTTGTGTGTGTGCATGTGTGCGCACAAGCGTGTGTGTTTTAAAGCCAGGGCCTTTCCAAATTTGTTGGGAAAAGGTCTGTAGGCCATGGCAATCTCTTTTTCTATAAACCCAGGCTCCGTGGGATGATAGCAACTAAGATTCTTCTTTACTGGGGCAAGAAATAGCCCACAGGCTGGAAAAAGAGCTTCATGAGGTTTAAAAACAAGCAGGAATGTGGGAGAGATGAGAAATTCCAGTTCGTACCTTGTGAAAATGCTTTCGAACGTGACCTGAGGGTCCAGGAGAGGTGGAAGGAGCCCCTGGTTTTCGTATCAACCTCTCAGTTTTTGCATTACCTCAAGAAATACAGTCAGACCTCTTAGTCTGGCGCATTAGAAAGTGAGGGGGTGGTGAAGCTGACATTTCTCCGAAGCACTGACATTTTAAATATAATCGTTCCCCTCAAAGATCTCATGAGGTGGACAGCTCTTCTCCTCGGCCTCAGATACGAAGCCAAAGATACTCAAGAAGCCATCTATGCCTTTTGTCTCCCCAGCTGCCCTTTGTCATCAGGTACCGATCCTATTTCTGTCCCCTGTCTCCCATGTGGAGGGTCTTCCTGCAGAAGGATAAACGTATAGACACGGCCACAGCCGGACAGACGGAATAAACTGGAAAGGGCACAGAAGGGAACCATGACCTTTTGTTTTAAACTGGATTTCCACGTAAGCATATAAAGCTCCTCCTGCCCCAGTGCCAGCCCCGGTTCTTCAGCGCTCCTCGTGGGTGTGCAAACACACTACCACCCGAACGACATCCCTCTCCCACTGAGAAGAAAAGCAGCCTGGGGTGGGGGGGGTGGAGGACGGGCTGGAGCCAAGAGACAGCTGTTACCCGGGAGAG